AAATATATATACATGAAGACAAGACAGTCAACGACTTTCTCAACATTATTAAACCATTGGTTAATTCCTAAGAGTTATTTCATGTTTTTTAGATAACAGGATCTTCCTCATTTTCTTTTTGAAGACAGAGTTTTGCTCTTGTTGCTCCCAGGCTAGAGTGCAATGGCGAGATCTCGGCTCACCATAACCTCCTCCTCTCAGGTGCAAGCAATTCTCCTGCCTCAGCCTCCTGAGTAGCTGAGCTGGGATTATAGGCATGGGCCACCATGCCTGGCTAATTTTGTATTTTAGTAGAGATGGGGCTTCCCCACATTGGTCAGCCTGGTCTTGAACTCCCGACCTCAGGTGATCCACTCACTTCAGCCTCTCAAAATTCTGGGATTACAGGCGTGAGCCACCAAGCCCAGTGATTATCCTCATTTTCAACAAATTTTTTAAGCTTTCTTTCCTTTACTAAAGTAAAATTTTACATACTATAAAATCTTAAGTTTGAATCAACATGTTTGAATAAATGTACATAACAATTGGCAAACCTGTATAAAGGTATACGGAAGTTCCTTGTACTAGTCTTGCAACTTTTGTGTAAGTTAAAAATTATATGAGAGCTTGTTTGGAGGTTCTAGTAGGGGAGCGCAGCTACTCGTATACCCTTGACCGAAGACTGGTCCTCCTCTATCGGGGATGGTGGCACTCTTCGACCGAACTCGCAGCTTCGGGAGGGACGCATGTGGAGTGGTGAGGGAGGAAGGGGACACCCACGTAGCCAGCCAAATCAGCCAAATCAACCCTGGTGATCAATGGGGTGACAAGATGTCACAGCCAGATCGCCCTCACATCCTAAAAATTATATGAAAACAAAGTTACCCAAAAAGTATATAATTGAATTACCATCACTCAAGTCAAGCGACAGAATATTTCCATCACGTCCCTTAGAAATCACAGCCCCTACGAAGAGGCAACCACTGTCCTGATTTCTATCACTATATCTTAGTTTTGCCTGTTATTGTATTTTTCATAAATGGCATCATAAACACTTATACATACTCATCTGTGCCCGGCTTCTCTTGCTGTGAACAGTATTTCTGAGATTTATCAATGTTACTATGTGAATCAGTAGTTTATTTCTACTGTGAAAAAAGTTGCTATGAACCAACCGTTGTGGGCATATACTTATTTTCTCTTGGTACAGTAAGATTTCATTGAAAAGAAAAGTTTTACATATAAATATGCCTGGGAAATAAGGCAGTATAGATACTGCTATAAATACATAAAACATATAGCAACTATATAGTTATATATAATGTAAAAAAGATACTTGATATTTACACATATATGTGTAATATACACACACATACACAAGCCTGAATAATTCTAAGAAGTCCACCAGAAAGATATTTTAAAAGAATTTATGGCAGGGCATGGTGGCTCACGCCTGTAATCCCAGCACTTTGGGACCTGGTGGATCATGAGGTCAGGAGTTCAAGACCAGCCTGGCCAAGATGGTGAAATCCTATCTCTACTAAAAATACAAAAATTAGCTGGGCATGGTGGAGGGCGCCTGTAATCCCAGCCACTCAGGAGGCTGAGGTGGAGAATTGTTTGAACCCAAAAGGTAGAGGTTGTAATGAGCCGAGATTGTGCCACTGCACTCCAACCTGGGCGACAGAGCCAGACTCTGTCTAAAAAAAAAAAATTAGCCAGGCATGGTGGTGCACACCTATAGTCTCAGCTACTCAGGTGGCTGAGGCAGGAGAATCACTTGAACCTGAGATGCAGAGGTTGCAGTGAGCCAAGTTCGAGACACTGCACTCCAGCCTGGGCAACAGAGTGAGACTCCATCTCAAAATGAAAGAATGTATAAAGTTCATAGTGAAAGTAAATCTAAGATGGGAATGATGAACATCTAAATTTTTCTTAGTAATTTTATGTTTTAACCTAACAATAATTCAAAAGAGAAACAAGTATCTCTCCATGTAAATTACCTTGTCAGGTTTCAACAAAACACATTTTTCTCTTGAAACAAACATCTCCTCCAAGCTAGAACTTCAAAACAGTGTTACCATCCACTAGGCAATAATTTTTACGCTAGCAACAAAACCCAAAATGTGTGTTCAGAATACAAGACTGTTTTATTGTCTTGCTTTTTAAAAAAAGTTAAACATGGAAAAACTCAATTGGTTAATATCTAACATGGGTAAAGAACATTCCATGCTCATTCAGAGTACATTCTGATACAGACTCAATCTCTAGGACATTTTCTCCATTCCAAAAAGTAACCTATCGCATGCAGCATTATGTCTGTGATTGGGACATCTTGACTTTCAAATTCACTGTGCAATTTTCAGCTAACAATGGAGGAGGTTCTTTCGTTTCCAGAGATAGGAACATTGAGAAACAAATACAAATCTAACCTTTGAAAAGATCAATCTGAAATTTGCAACCCTGCTTTTTACATGAAATGGCCATTTTCTGGGGACTCCTCATTTATAACATCTATAAACTGCCAAAACTAAAACAGAATGCTACAAATGACTCTAGAAATTTACCACTGCCCACTTAGGATTTGCAACTACAAAAGAGAAAAAACAACCCTCTTCCACTCTAATTTTTGTTCACCTCTTATTCTTCTTTCCAAAAAATGCACAATCTCAAAAAGATACAATTCAAACGTACATTTTTAAGCCAGGCATGTTGGCTTGAGCCTGGGATCCCAGCACTTTGTGAGGCTGAGGCAAGGGGATCACTTGAGCCCAAGAATTTGTGTGGAGGCTGCGGTTAGCCACCACAGTTCGGCCTGCACGATAGATCAAGACACAATCTCTTAAAAAAAAAAAAAATACACACACACACACACACACACAATGTATGTATATATGTGTGTGTATATATATATATCTTTTTTCATAAAAAGTATAAAAACATACATAAGCCAATCTCTTTAATAAGTCTATGTTATGTAGACTGGGCACGGTGGCTCACACCTGTAATCAACAATTTGGGAGGCCAAGGCAGGCAGATCACAAGGTCAGGAGATCAAGACCATCCTGGCCAAGATGGTGAAATCCCATCACTACTAAAAATTAAAAAATTAGCTGGGCGTGGTGGCGCATCCATGTAGTCCCAGCTCCTCGGGAGGCTGAGCAGGGTCTCATTCTGTTGCCCAGGCTGGAGTACAATGGCTGATCACAGCTCACTGCAGCCTCAACCTCCCAGGCTCAAGTGAGCCTCCAATCTCAGCCTCCCAAATAGTTGAAACTACAGGTGCACTCCACCACACGTGGCTAATTTTTCTATTTTTGTAAAGGGGGTTTCGCCATGTTTCCCAGGCTGGTCTTGAATTCCTAGGCTCAAACAATCCACTCACCTTGGCCTCCCAAAGTTCTGGGATTACAGGTATGAGTCACTGCACCTCACCACCTTTTTCTAAGAAGAGAAACAGCCTTGATTAAGCTTTAATTTTGATAACAAAAATGACAGCAACTCCAAACAACTACAATCACAACTTTCAATATCTTTTGCCTGATTGTTTTACAGAACTAAAATAAAATATTTTTTTTTAATATTTTGATTCCAGACCAAGGGTAAAAAACAAATACAACAAATATATAGACCCCACACTCCCTCTGGTGGACCTTCACTCTCATTAACTAAAGGTTTTCCTAAAAGGCTGTAAGTAGGCCCTGCACTATGGCTCACACTTATAATCCCAGCACTTGAGGAGGCCAAGGCAGGAGGATCACTTGAGCTCAGGAGTTGGACACCAGCCTGGGCAACATAGTTAGACCTTGTCTCTACTAAAAATTAAGAATTTTTAAAATTAGCCAGTTGTGGTGATGGGTGCCTATAACCCCAGCTACTTGGGAGGCTGAGGTGGGAGAATCACTTGAGATCAAAGGTTGGGCAGGAGGATCTCTTGAGCCCAGGAGGTCTGCGGTGAGCCCACAATCACACCACAGCACTTCAGCCTGGGCAATAAAGCAAGACACTGACTCAAAAAAAAAAAAAAAACAAAAAAAACCTAGAAGTAAATACTAAATTAAGCATAAAATGTAGGTTCTCATAACAAACTACTATAAGAAGTTACAAATTATTTTGAGTGGAATTGTAGTGTTCTAAATATTGCTAAAATACTCTTATCAATCTGTTAGTAATGTAATAGTACATATGGCCCTACTGAAAATTATTTTAACCAGTTTTATTTGGCAGTACTGTATTTTACATAGTAAATAAACATCTTATTTGCAAATTAAATCACACTTAAGTGTTTATTGTTTTAAATCAATAGTTTTGTGACACACATACCACCATCCACCCAGTCTCTACTGAATACAGATTTTCTTTTTTTTTTATTTGAGACAGTCTCACTCTCACTCTGTAGATTTAATTTTTCTTTATGCTTTTGGGGATATGATGACAGGATTTTAAAATGCACTAAAATATACTGCAGAAAAATTCAGAAATATAAAATATTGAAAAAAATCTACTAATCAGCTAGATTGGAAAGTTCAAATAGTTTCAGAATTACAAAATGCAGATTATTTAACTTAAACAGGAATTACAAAATTTAGTGCACTCAATATGTACAATATAGATTATTCTTTAGGAACTGTGGAAGCTTAATTAAAGATCTTTAGAGGAATTCTTCATGCCAGGTACAAGTACATTACTGTTAAATAAAGCAATACGAGGCCAGGCTCAGTGGCTCATGCCTGTAATCCCAACACTTTGGGAGGCCAAGGCGGGTGGATCACCTATCAGGAGTTCAAAACCAGCCTGGCCATCATGGAGAAACCCCGTCTCTACTAAAAATAGAAAAATTAGCTGGGCATGGTGGCGCACACCTGTAGTACCAGCTACTCAGGAGGCTGAGGCAGGAAAATCACTTGAACATGGAAGGGAAGGTTGCAGTCAGCCCAGATAGCACCCTTGCACTCCAGCCTGGGAAACAAGAGCAAAACTCCATCTCAAAAAAAAAAGACAAAAAACAAAAAACCAAAAACCAAAAAAAAAAACACTACTACTGTCTATAATAGTGCCGTTTGATCTGTCCTCAAAGTTAGCTGTTTTAATATAAGTCCTTGTTTTCTGCAGCTTTATTTATTTAAAAATACTTACTACCACCTCCAAACTCAAAAACAGTTATACCTGAGGGTAAATGGCTTTAAACATTCCCAATGTTTATTGTGTGGATGTGAGAATTCAACTTATGCTTAATTTTAAAACTGAAATTGTGGTTGATAATTTTATAATATCATCTATTACAAGTTAAAGTAGACAAAAATCAGTAATTAAAATATCTAAAAACTGATTTTTAAAATGGGCTTTTAAAGTTAATAAAGCTTTAACTTTTATAGTTAAAATACTAAAATATACTTATATGTAAATAAATTATGAAATATAACTTTATTGTATGTGGTATATATATACATCACCACAGAATAAACACAATAATTATAAATAGTATTTAATATATTCCTGTACACTAAAGAGCAATTACATAAATGATCAAAATAATAGCACTACAGTCTTATTCAGATCCTTACAACTATGTATATAGAATAAGCCCTCCATATACGAGGATGAGTCATTGTTCAACGCATCTATCCACACTAAGCATCAAAAAGCCAACTTATCTTTTAACAGCAGTAACTTCTACAGGTATACAAACAGGATGTTCTTTCTTCTCCAGACTAATTCATCCTAAGCTGAGAAGCCTTTAGGAAACTAAACTGAACCCAAAATAGGCATTATTTTCCAAGAATAAACAGAAAACTAAAGATTAGTTGCCTAATTCAATATTTTAAGTTTCTCATGTTGAACTGATTAAAAGTGTGTTTTAAAAAAGCAATTCACACAAAATTCCCATAACTAAAAGAATTAAAGATTAAGAAATATATTTGTTTTGTTAAATGTTAGAAAGACAAAGGCCTCATAGCTTGTTTTGGAGAAATAAAACAATTTATAAAGACCATCTTTGATTTTTTTTAATCTAAAATAGTCACAATAATTGGTTAAAGAATTTATGGTTCAATGGAGAACTCTTATCAGCTATTAGCTAACTATAATTACCTAGGCAAATAAGTAAAATGACCATTCAATGAATAATAAACCAGCATAATTAAGATTAGTTACAGTGTTCTTAACTTAAACTTCATCTCTGAAGTATAAATCCTACCTAATACAGATATTAGAAGACACATTAGAAGAAAAAACCTGAGTAAATCAAGTGTTTTTCCACAAATAATGAGTATTAATAACCATCGTTTTAAAAACGTTATTTCTATAGAATCTCTAAATTGGTCAGGGCCATAACTGTAGATTGTCAGCAGAGGTCAGCTGGGGGAGAGATAAACAGAAAATGGTGAAGTGAAAGTATGACAATAAAAATTTCCCACCAGAGTAAGAATCTTTTCAAGTCGATTCTTGACTTTTGATTCCAACACCAAGAGAAGCAGCTCCCTTTAGAGAATTACTTTATAATTCCCTAAAGTAAAGACCCTTACGGGGGAGGTGGATAGAATCCCAGACTATTAAAAATACTTAACCAAAATATGCTTTAACTTTCCCCTTGTCCACAATCTAACAAAATGGGAAGACAATGAAAATAAACACTCCTGTCTACCCTCAGAGAGGCAAAGAAAGCTCCCATTCAGTACGAAGCCTTATTCCACTGGAAAACATACTCCTGAAAAGTAAATCCAAAACCACGAGCTCAAACTGCCTCATGCAGAATTTACTGAACGGCGGCCAAACGCTGTACACACTGTCCTGAACCACACTGAAGGGTATCTAGAGTTCTGCATCTCCGCTTACAACTTGAACCTTACTACGCTTTCGCCACCACTGCAGAGCCCGATTTTAAAAGCGAGACTATGACGTTCCTGCCGGCGCGTGGATCGAAGAAAGGCACTCTGCACCCTGACTCTCGAAGAGTCTTTTTGGCAATATTGGTTTTTGACTCTTATACGGTGACCGGCGCACCTTTTTGGGCGATCAATTGTGAGGCGGAAGGCGTTTTCACATCCTAGAACTGAAGAGCGTAAGGAGCCCGGGCACAGCGTTCAGCCGCTTGGGTCTGGCCCGGGAGTGACGCTGATCACCTGTTAGACGGCGCCGCGCGGACTCCTCCACGAGCGGCCGTCTGCGGCGCTGAGGTTCCCCGACGCTTGTCGGGGGCGGCAGGTGAAGGCGGGGACCGCCAGTTCACACCCGGAGCGCGGCTACCCCAACACCTTCCCCTGCACGGCCCCGCCAGGTGGGCAAGTCCGCCCCGCGCCCGCGGCGTCCTGGCGCTCGGCTCGCCCCGGGGTCCGGTTGTCCCGGCGCCCGGGACCGAAGACGAAGTTTGGCTCCCGCCCGCAGCGGTGCCGGCTCGGGTGCTGCCCCGCTCTCCGAGGGTCCCGCCGCCAGTCCCGGGCGAGCCGGGGGCCGGAGACCAGAGGCGGCGCGGGACCTGTGATCCCCGGCGGGAAACAAAAGCTCAGTGAAGACGAGCGGGCGCGACCGGCCTCGCATCCGCCGGGAGAGCGCGGCGGGGGCGGGGAGCGGCGCCCGCGGCCACCCCGCTCCGCGCCTCCCGCCGGGAGTACCGGCCCCGCGGCCCCGGGGGCGCGGCGAGGGGCGCCGCAGTGAGGCCGGGGCCTCCCGCGCGCTCCCCTCGAGGCTTCCCGGCCCTGCTTCCCCAGACACGCGGCTCCTGGGCTGCGAAGCCGCGTGGGGGTGGGAGCTGAGGCGGCGAGTGCGGCCGCGGCGGGACCGGGAAGGACGGCGTTCGGCTCCCGGGGCGCCGCGGCCGGCCGCCCCATTCCCGCGGCCATGGCGCCGGTACCTGTCGCCGCGGGGGCTCGCCGACTCCGTCACTCTCTGCCTCGCTCGCGCGCCGCGCACCCTTCTGCCCGCCCAGCAGGCCTCCCGCGCGCCGGACACCGCCGCCTGAGACTGGCAGCACCCGCGAGCGGGCCCGAATCCCCCGGGCAGCGCCCGGCCCCGTCCCGCCCCCGCCGGCCGCAGGACCCGCCTTCCATAGGGCCCCGGGGCTGTCAGTCCGCCCCCAAAAGGCGCGCGGGCTGTCGATCCGCCTGTCCGGATTGGTGGCCGCGCGCCGTCCATGCAAATGAGGCCCCGCCCCCATTCGTTGGCTTCTCCGCCTCCCCCCGCCAGCCCACGTGTCTGGCCCTTGCCCTTTGTGGGGGCCATAGAGAAGGGATGGTGGAAACCGACACCCCCTCACAACATCTCTTACCTCCCGAGAAATTAATGCCTAAGCAAGGTAGTTGACTTCCCGTCTGTATCGTGTCTCTGAAGGCACTGCCCCTTCTATCTGTCCACAGGGCCTACTCAGAGGCTGGAGAGGGGCAGGCCAGGCTGTTTGGATTAAGTCAACTGGCCAGGTTAGCCGTAGGAAGCCACCCCAAGAAGTCAAAGATGCCCAGTCAGGTCTGGGGAAATCCCACCTCGAGAAACAGTTTAGCAGATATCACCTCCCTCTGGGCACCCAGTGACTATAACAACCATACTTTCTCTTGGCTTGCTACCTTTCAAGCAGGAGATCCCAGGCGATTAAAACAAGAAGAGGCCTTAAAAACGGCTGAGTTCGGCGGGCGCGGTGGCCTATAATCCCAGCTTTGAGAGGCCGAAGTGGGCAGATCACGAGGTCAAGAGATCAAGAGAATCCTGGCCAACATGGTGAAACCCCGCCTCTACTAAAAATACAAAAATTGGCTGGGCGTGGTGGCGCACACCTGCAGTCCTAGCTACCTGGGAGATTGAGCCAGGAGAATCGCTTGAATCTGGGAGGCGGAGGTTGCAGTGAGCCCATATTACACCACTGCACTCCAGCCTGGCGACAGAGCAAGACTCCCATCTCAAACACACTGACACACACGCGCGCGCACAAAACGGCTGAGTTCTTCGGCCAACTCCAAAAGCAAAAGCAACTTCAGGACAGACCTACTTTCCTCCAGCCAGATGGCTACCTCTGAGTCGCTCCCATAGAGATGCAGGAGCTGCACCTGGGCCTTAGGGAATCTAACTCAACTCTAATTTTAGAGGAAACAGAAATCTAATATCCCATAGCTAGTTACCCAATGGACATAATAGTTACCTATGGAAACCTAATGTCTCATAGCCAGATTAGAACTCATGTCTTCTGGCTCCAAACCTGTTCTCTTTGCACTATACTGCATCCAAATATTTATGAAGAGCCTCTTCTACAAATCTCCATGCGGCCTTCAAGAGATGATGTCTGCAGAAAAGATAAAGCCAACACTGAAACCGCCTCGAGAACAGGGTCTCTGTCTCAGTCATTTGTCTATTCTCAGTGCCTAGAAGCTTCCCTGTTTACCAGCTGCCAGGGAGAGTCACTGAAACAACTTATTCGTTCATTAACGCAGAAAAACAAAGTTGATCAAAATTCCTCCACATACTAACACCAATTGATTAAGCATCTACTGTGCTTAATAACAGTACATATTAAGGTCTATGCTCTGTGCAGGGTATATATGACCCAATCCTCAAGGGCTTCAGCCTAGGAGACAGTGACATACACATAACAAGTCAGTTCTCCTCTTGTTACAGGGGTTGTGGCAGATGTCTGCATAGGGCACAGCGGGAGTCCCCAAGGAAAGAGGAATCAGCTCTTCTTCTAGGAGAGGCAGGGAAGGCTTCATTGAAGAGGTTACCTGACAGTAGAGCTGAATCTTAGAAGATGAAGTAGGTGTTTGCCAGACAGAGGGGTGTGGACAAGGAGGAAAGGGACTCCCAGGCAGGAAGGGATGGCATGAGCAAAAAGCATGCAGACCTGGAAAATCCTAATAATTGAGGGAAGAGTGAGGAGCAGTGTGGGCAAATCTGCAGAGGGCTGTGTGGACGTGTCACATGCCTGGGACCAGGCTCTTCCAGGAGGAAGACAGAAAGGCAGGGGAGGCTGCCAGGCTGTGTTGTAATACACCGCAGCAACAACAACAGGCCCTGTAGATACAGCTACAGGCTTCTTTTTTCTAGGCCAGAGTCTGTGGAGAACAGTCAGTTCCACAGTTCCAATGGCAGCCTGGCTAGCCCCACCCGCTCTCCCAGAAAACCACTCTGGTCACTGCACTTGCCTTCCTTGGCATTTGGAAACACGTGTGCTTGCGTTTTCCCTAAACATTGCTGTCCTTCAGAATTCAAAGATGATGTGGGCTATGGCTGCAGACACCTGGGTGTGGGATGAGCAGCCCTTTCCTAAGGCACAGAGTGGTTCTTTGCAGGGCCTGTTGCTAAGGCCAGCTCCATGAATGTGTGACCCATGCAGTACACAGGGCCCTGTACTTAGAAGAGCCCTGTGCTTGGTTTAATGCTCTGCTGCTGCCATCTTGAAATTCATAGTACTTCCTCAACAAAGGGCCCTGCATTCTCATTTTTCACTGGGCCTCACAAATTATGTGGCCAGTCCTGGTTGTCACTGGTAGTGACCCTGGGTATGCTTGAGGAACTGCTCAAACCTCATCTCATTTAAAAAGCACTTGGCATTCACCAGACTTGTTCACATGCATTTTATCACTTGATTCTCTTTTTCTTTCTTTCTTTCTTTTTTTTTTTTTTTTTTCAGAGATGAGGTCTCACTCTATTGCCCAGGCTGGTCTCGAACTCCTGGGCTCAAGAGATCCTCTGACCTCAGCCTCCTAAAGTGTCAAGTTTATAGGTGTGAGCCACCCTGCCCGGACTTATCACTTGATTCTCACAATGGAGTAGGCCGGTATGACTCTTTATTCTCATTTATTACTTAAGAAAATTGAAGTTTGGCAGCCGTTTCCAGGTGGCACAGCTAGGAAGTAGCAGAGCTTGTACTTGAACTCAGCCCAGGCAAGCCCTGCTCCACTTATTATCAAGCTACCTCCATCTTGGTTTCCGAATCCTTTTAAAGGAAGCTTTGTACACTAAGGTTTTTAAGAGTCAGAATGCATGGTAGAGTTGATACCTATCATTTCATGGCTGCCTAACACCTTTTGAATAGTTTTTCATTCGTTTTTAACAATTCTCAGCCATTATATGTTCAAATACTGTTTCTGTCCTTTTTCTTCTTTCTTTCTGGGGCTCCAATTGAAACACATTCAATCTTCTTACTTTATCCTTTTCTTCTGTATTTTCTCTCTTCTCCTTCCATGGTTTGTCCTAATAAGTTTCTTCTATTTTCAGCTCATTCTCTTTTCAGCTTAAAAAAAAAAAATCTCCTCTTAAAGCCAACTACTGAGTTCCATGTACTTACTCTATTCTTTAGGTCTAGAATGAATTTCTATTTGGTTCTCTTTCTTGCTTGCTTTTTTTTTTCTCTCTTTCTTTCTTTCTTTCCCTCTCTCTCTCTCTCTCTCTCTTTCTTTTTTGTTTTGAGACAAGAGTCTTGCTCTGTCACACAGGCTGGAATGCAAGGGCAAGATCTCAGCTCACTGCAACCTCTACCTCCCTGCTTGAGGCAGGTTCAAGCGATTCTCCTGCCTCAGCCTCCCCAGTAGCTGGGATTACAGGCACGTATATCACGCCCAGTTAATTTTGGTATTTTTAGTAGAGACGAGGTTTTGCCATGTTGGCCAGGCTGGTCTTGAACTCCTCACCTCAAGTGATCCACCTGCCTTGGCCTCCCAAAGTGCTGGGATTACAGGCGTGAGCCACCGCACCTGGCCTCTATTTGGTTCTTTCTCAAATCTGCTATGCCAATTCATGTAGCTCTCAGTCCCCTGTTATAATTTGCAGGCTTGTCTTTTCCCTCCTTAAACATAGTATCATTGTTTTATCGTCTATAACTGATAATTCCAACCTGGAGTTCCTATGAGTCTTCTTCCACTGTCAGATTTTGGGTTTGCTTTTTACTCAAAAAAAAAAAAAAAAAAAAAATAGAGATAGAGTCTCTTTATGTTGCCCAGGCGGGTCTCAAACTCTGGGGCTCAAGGGATCCTCCTATCTTGGCCTCCCAGAGTGCAGAAATTACAGGCATGAGCCATGCACCCAACCAGTTTTTATTTTTGTTTTCATTTTCAAGACAAGGTCTCACTCAGTCACTGAGGCTGCAGTGCAGTGGTGTGGTCATGGCTCCCTGCAGCCTTGACCACCTAGGCTCAAGTGATTCTCCCACTTCAGCCCCCCAAGTAACTGGGACTACAGGTGTGCACCACCATGTCTGGTTAATATTTTTTATTTGTAGAGGTGGGGGTTTCACTACTTGCAGAGGCCAGGCTGGTCTCGAACTCCTGGCTTCAAGTGATCCTCTCGCTTTGGCCTTCCAAAGTGCTGGGATTACCGGTGTGAGCCGCCACTCTTTGCCCCATTGTTCAGTTTTTACTGATTCTTTCTCATGTCACCACAGACCTGGTTGTGTTTTGGACATTGTATTTTTAAAAAATCATTTTAATTAACAACAATTATACCGTCCTCTGGAAAAGATTTCCATTGGCTTCTACCAGGATTTGGGACACTGGCAGTCTGGGATCATCTTAACTCAATTTCAGGGCTCCAGATTTTCTGAGCCACCCAGTGACTTGAAGCTGGACTGCAGCCTGTAGAAGGGTTTGGTTTGATTGGTTGGTTGGTTGGTTCCCCTTTACTCAATTTGGGGTCCCAGTTTAAGATTGAGAGTTTGTTTAGTTATATATTGTTGCATAGCAAACTACTCCAGAATTTAGTGGCTTAAAACACATGTCCAGCTAACTTTTTTTTAAAGACCAGATAGTATATATGTTAGACTTGCAAGCATCATGGTTTTTGTCATAATCACTCAAGTCTATCATTATAGCACAAAGCAGCCATAGATAATAGATAAGCAAATGCACGTCTGTGTCCCAATAAAAC